GGATTTGCTGACGGTCAATATTGACAGTATCGTTTTACCGCAGGAAGGTGCGAACAATTTGCCACAAATCGGACTCGGCTTGATTCTAGGGGGAAATGAAGAGATATCCCGTGTACAAAGATATCCACCGTCGATATTGCATCAAACACAACTCGCTCACTCACTTAAATCAATAGCACAAATTGAGTGCCATTCATTCCTTGTTCGACCCTTTGTCCGTGAACAATTCGGCTCGAACATATAAGCCAAAGCGTAGCTACGTGATGAACTTTGCCGACACTGAATCATGTATTTAATGAACAATAACTTCATCACATATTCAACGTAAAAAATTCATGCAAGTAGCCTCATGTTTCATTCCTTACAAAGCTTAACGCGAAACAGCTAACCATTCAACTAAATTCGTCTCTTACATGACAGTAGCGTGACAGATCTGTCAACACCTTTGTACCTTGCGTAGCCGAAAGCCAACCAGGGCTGGCTGCCTGCATGCCAACAGATAGGACATGATTGCGTGGGTGAACTAACGAATGCGTTCCGTTTGCCGTGTCTTGTCATCCTCGCTGCCTATTCTACTGCTTCGGAGTAAAACAGCAGGAGCTCGCCTGCCTACTCACTAAATGAAGGACCTGCTCGAGTGCCCACTTTAACTTCTCCCCGTATCGTCCTCATCCTCGTCCTCGTCGGGTATTGTATTTACATAATCGGCATTTCCACTACCCAGTAGCTATGGCAGGACGCCTACTCACACAGGCGGTCGTATAAAGGCGGAAGGCTCTCCGCATCAACAGAATGGAACCGTGTTGCCAAATTGTTGGGGGAATTCATGGAAACGGCGAAGATTTCCTTACCATAGTGTTTTTCAGGGTATGGGGTACTATTTCACCGACGCTGCGTCCTGAAATCATGTAAGGTTATATACGCTTATATCTTGACCATTTAATCTTCTTCTTCGGCTTTATTTCGTCCCTACTGGGACTTTGCGCTGGCCCTCATCTGTTTTTAGCACTTTCACATTTATTAATTAACACATTACCCGGTAGGATGTGTAACGGAAAATTGGCAATGTTTGAAAAATAATTTCTCAGCAATTTACCGATAGATTTTAAATCTTTTGATACCGAATAAAGTCTGTAGTTTTTCAAATGGTGTAAATAGATTAACGTCAATAAATGGCTGTGCTTTGATTTTTCAAACATTGCAAATTTTCCATTTTACCAGAGGCATCGTGTTCGGAGTGATAAGAGCTTTCTAAGCCAGTACCATTTTTGCATTAGTGTAGAGAAGAAGAGATAATCAAACCAATAGCAAATTTTGCTATTAAACAAAATTATCAGAACATCTCCATTTGTTATTTGTTCAAATATATCAAAAATAATAAATTACTATTATTATTTAATTGAATTATAATATTTGATACATTTGACACTCCTGGTAATAAGTTTGGGGTCACCTAAAAAAAACATTCAAATGTGTTTTGTTCATATCTTTGTCATTTTACGTCGTTCTCCTTAGGTCATTTGAAAGGTATTGCAGGGTGTCGACTCAATGAAGAAAACTAAATTCCCTGATATTCCAGTAATTTTCAAAAGAAAATCCAGGTACGGTGTCTACGTGGTTTTGTCAACACGACCTCATTAGCTATTACTTTCCTTAGATATGTACTACCCAACAAACAATTCTAGCTGCAGACCAGCCTATACAGGCACAAGTAAGCTGCATAAGGAATTTTTTGAATGTATGATCTAATCTGCAGCCAAAATTATTAGTTGAGTAGTGCTTTCTGGATATTTTTTCATGAAATACCACATGGACCTCTAACCCATGAAGAGTGGTCCAGTACAATCTCAAATTGAATAAAGCGTTCGTTTTTATAGGATGCAAAAAAGACAGAAATCGCGTGTTTCCAAAAACGGGAAGGCACCGCATTTTTCTAAATTCACAAATTGTAATCGTGGTAAGTGACAGGGAACAAGTTCAATTCATGATTACTAGTGTTGTGTGAAGGAAACTGCAACCATCTCGATATGAATCTACAAACAAGGCTTGCTTAACCGCTTAAAGTTTGCAGCAAATTTGCTCGACTTACTTCATGATATGAGAAGAGGCCCTTGGCATGGCGATTTTCTCACCCTTAGAAGCAGCGTTAAAATTATTCACCAAAATTCTTCGTGAAATATCGTGAACTTTTTCAATCAACGCTAGGGTCAAAAATTTACACAGTTCTCATACATTTTGCATATGAAACACTTATCTTTAATCCCTTTATATTTTTTTCCCTTGAGCACAATTATTTGAGACCCAGCTCTATAAGAAAATTATTCCGGATAATACGCTTAACAAAACGCTAATTCACGGTCAGATTCCTAGGGTGGGAAATCGTAAAAACAACGCTTTCACCTCCAAAGTTCAGTAGCTTAACTTCATCGCAATTGCAATACTAAAACTTCACTGAGAAGATAATTTTCTAAGGTAATCATATTTACAATAAGACTTAGAATACTGAATAACGCCACTCTATGCTGTCGAGGCAATGTTAGTCTACGATTCTTGAATCATGAATCAATCGTTAAAGTGCTGTTCCAAGGCCATTATCGTAAATACTATTTAGTTTATTCTCTGAGCTAGTCAAGCTGTTGAGAACACAATAAGGAACAAGAACAAGAAGTGATCAGAAAAAATAATCTTCTTCTCTTAACCCTTTATCAGTCTTGAATTTGTTCAAAAGCGCTCCAATGCACCCAAAGGATCTACGTCAGACGCAATTGGGCGTAACATCTATAAAGAGACGCACATACCCATTTGGAGGTTATATTTTGCAACAAATAACAACGTCTAGCGTCTAAGGAAATAGATTTTTTTTTTCAAACCGCAGGATCTCAGTTTAACCCAGGATTATGTCAACACCCAGTAGGAGCTGAATTTATAGTAGGCGCAAAATCATTAAAATACCCTTTTATTTTAGTAATTCTTGCTCAACTCGCAAAAATGCCACATCAAGCATTGAGCAACCACAAATTCGCAACTTTATTTAAAATTTTAAACCATCCTCAAACTACACCGAGTAATTAAGTTGTTTTAAACTAGCAAAGTTTGTCATTCTTCTGTGGTTAAGAAATATTTCCCTGCATTTCAATTAAATTCCCTGAGATTCCCTGATTTTCCAGGTCCAAAAATGAATTCCCTGATATTCCCTGACTTTCCAGGTTTTTTTTTTCCAGGTAGTCGACACCCTGTATTGAATGAAACTTACTTTGTACATAAATGATTAAATTTATTTTTCAGATTATGTATACTAATTTATTCGGGGTCACCCCACAGCATAGTGTTTCACGGCGAAACACTATGTTTTGGGGTGATCCCGAATAAATGTTCTTAAGAATTAAATATGTTAATAATCTTTCCTCCAAATTTTCACAAAAGTATAGAATATAATACTACTACTTTTATTTCAAAATTTGGCCTACCCAATTCAAGTCATGGTTCTTCAGAGTAAATTTTGAAAAATGTTGTAATTTTGGGTGAACTATTAGTATACAAAATTTGAAAATTATATTAAGTCATTTACCTACGAAGAAAGTTCCTACCTTTAAAATGACCTAAACTATTGAAAAAAAATGTATTTTGTTCAAGAAAAATGAAAAACAATACCAAGTCGGCATATTAAATCGATAATCCAACTGTAAAATCCATACTGTAAACTCTTTTTACGCGGGTACATTTTTACAATTTTCTTCTTCTTTGGTGAAGTTAGAAAATTTCTGTACATACCATTATTTCTTTGATTTAGATTCATTTCAATTTCACATTTTTGTTGTTGTCATTGTTGACACTCATAACTGTTCTTTTGCATTGCTGCTAGTCGCGTCGGAATTAAATTAATCAGCGACGTACAGATTTTTTTTTTATCTAAATGAACAATATGTGTCAAAATTTTAATTTTTTTACAAATTTCTAGATGGACTATTACTGAAACAGCGTCATTTGTGAGAAAAAATAGTCACGAATAATTGATTAATGGCTTGCTTTAACATGACAGCTCGATTAGATAGTAGGTTTCCGTCCTCGGCGAAGTTGTACAAATGGACAATACTTATTGAATGATGGGCAGCTGAGATCAGAAATCACTCAACAGGTGGCGCTAGTAAGCCATTCGACTTAATTTTTTTGCTTTAGTATAATTTAACTCGAAGTTGAGTTCCGTCTACTAAAGTAAAGTAAATTTCTCGACTTCCCAGGGCATAGAGTATGATTGCAATTGCCACACAATAATACTAATGCAAACATGGTACAGACATCGAAAGCTCTCAATTAATAACTGTGTAAGTGCATTTAGAACACGAAGTTGTGAGCACCCAATAATCTAATAAGCGATAAGCAATAAGCTTGAAATGCGAGGAAGAATTATCTAATTTAGCGCAGCCTAGTTTGATATGCTTTCCTTCTGGAATCTCATCAATAAAACCGAACTCAATCGATCCTGGCAACACTCTGCAATTGTCAACCACCCATTGCATCGCATTTTCGTCCTGTCGTTTTCCACACACATTTTCCTGTTTTTTTGCCACCCCAAAAAAGCAGCTCTCACAAACACTACTGAAAAAGGGCACTTCTACACCGACTGAATGCGATAACTACTGACTGACAGAAGTCCTTTGCTGGAGCGAAGGAAACCCATGTAGCTATTCTCCCATTTTCCACTCTTTCCAGCGCTGTCCTACACGACGGATTCGATGGGATGTGAACATTCACATGAAAATGACAGTACATTTTCAGGAAGGGAAAGCTCATCTTCCTTTATGAATGGGCCGATTGTCGAAATTCCTTCAGTGTCATTTCCCACCCGTTGCCCTTCCGAGAAAAACATCAATATTTGACAGATTCCACCATCTTCTTTTTCCCGGATCTCCTCCCTTTAAATAACCCTTCCCACCCCATCACTAGGAGCTAGGACTAGGAACATGGGAAACTCCTCGTTTAAAGACAACCCAAACACTTACCCGGCTATTGAGCGGAACCGTCTCGATCATCTCCTGGCCGGTACAAAGGCGCTTGTTATGCGGCCCGTCCTGGCCACCGCCGGCACCGTTTCCGTTGAACGCCATGATCATTGAAATTGAGCTTTGTTTACTAGCACACACGCAAGCAAAGAGGAGGGTAGGGTTGAGAAAATGTCGCGACACCTCACTATGCTTTACTTATCACTCGGGACAGCCTACGATAATAACCGCTGTTGAAAAACCTGGAACTTTTCCCTACAAGACACACGAAAAATAAGCTTTATTTTTTTTTCTGCTTCACTTTCCTGCACTCTGGAGGCTTGCTGTTTTCACTTATTATCTTCGTTTGCCTTCCTTTCTTTTTGCTATTTTACTATGCAAGCACACACCACTATTTTCTGCTTCTCACACGCGCGACTTTCCTCCGGTATACTTTGCGATTCGCTCTTTTGCCTTTTGTATATGATTATTATTTGCTTTATTATTTATTTTTAGTTTTTTTTTTTCTTTTCCTTCCGACGCACTGACTTTTCCCTTCAATAATTTATTATGCTTTTTCGACTAGCATTCGAAGGAAAATATACCGCAGAAAACAATGGGGTTTGCTTCACCGTTCACGCACACACGCGCACATGCACTTGACAGCTCTCGTCGTCGCCTACTCTGCTACTGCTGCTCGGCTGAACGCGTAGGAAACTACTTTATGCAAAGATTAGCACGGAGGGTCAAAACGGCGTTGCTATGACACCTAGGGGTACACTCTCCAGCGTCAGCGGAATGAAGTATTGAGAAAGATACAAGATTAAAAAACTGTAGCAGTGAAAGAACGTCCGTTCTAGTACGCGAGACCGCCCAAAAGGAACACCGGAACCGGAAGAGTCTGTGTGATCCTTTGTATGCTGGGCCTTTTCCTGTTGTGTCGATGTTTTTTTTTGCCAAAGGATGATTTTTCTGTCGTGTAGTGTCTGCGTGCGAAATCGAAACAAGAGTGGAGCTAGAATTCCTCTAGCTCAGCAGGCTGCTATATGTTTGAACGGAAGAACGCAATTTTCCGTCTCTGTCTTTCCTATGGCGATTGATATCTGCTTTTGTTTAGTGGATTATGATAGCGTGATTGCGCTTCGGGTGGACGATTGTATTTTCCTATCGCCGAATGGCCACCCTTTTCTGATTGTAGTAAAAGGAATGGCTATCCCTGTTGAAAACGCACTCACTCAACGTAGACTCGTACTATTCTATCAACCTTGCGGGTTAGCTATAGAACGACACACCACCAAACTGCGAATTTGGAGCGCTTCAGGAAAATTTTCACTTCTGACTCGATCTTCCGAGAATCGAACACTGAATGACTCTGACTAAAACTGTCCGCGGCCTAGGTGAAACTGAAAGTGCTAGTGTGCTGAGGTAGTACTCTTCGCGGCGAACGAAAACGGAACGATCCGCTTTTGCAAAACCAAGACGATTCGGCTTCGTCGGAGAGCAATCCGGAGAAACTCGCTCACGGCGTCATGAAAATGACAGCTAGCGATCATATGGTTATCCCACTTCCCCCTACGGGGCTCATATCGGACCGCGTGCTTTCATTTCGTTCGCACGTGCTCTCTCTCATGGCAAGCATGCTCCGTTTTGCGCAAACTCGTGGTCGCTCTCGCGTTTTTCGGAGCAGGTGAGAGCAGAGCGAGAAGACTTGGATTGCGTTGTTCGGCAACAAACGAGACAAGATAAGAAGACCCCTTGAGTTTGTTGTGCGCTCTCGCTCGGCCAGGTGATTCGAGAACAGACATGCGTTGATAAAAGAGACGTCAAAAAAGAGCTGTCAGATTGTGTTGATTTTCCAGCCACCCCACTCCGAACGGAGAGCACTAGCCACTAGCAGAGCGCTCTGGTGGGAAATGAATGAAAATCTCACGTAATGTGGCCTACACACTTGATGAATATCCGTCGGTAAGGATGGATTTTTGATAGTTACAAAATGATCAATTATTGACTGCTGCTTAACTAAATATCAATAAATTATAGAATAGATTTTACCAATAATTTTAATTTTAATATTTTGATGTATCCCGGAAGATGTTTTTGAATTTTTACCAGTATTTTCCGCCGATTTCAGCAGAGTTTTAAAATTTTCTAATCGAGTTTCTAATTTCAAGAGTTTTATCTAATTTTTTAACTTCCCCCGGATTCTTAAAAACTTATCCTGCATTTTTTTTCTGTATTCCCTTGAAAGATGGGATGGGCACTGTAGTGATACAGAAATCGTAGTTGAACTCTAAAATATATTGTAGATAAAACCAGGTACATATTTATTATACAGAATTGAATATTTAAATAAAAAAATAACAACACGGTTAAATGTAAGCACAACCCAAACGCTCACTGCATCATGTTTGGCAACCAGGCATGTAATTAACGCAAAGCCTATGCGTTTTGGCAACATTTCCGGAATGTTCGGTCACATAACTGAGATGCGAATTGGATTCATTCTGTGTGCTTATTTCATGAAATAAAAGATGTGTAACGAAACGATGAACCACCACTAGCGTAAGACTCCTTAGGTGTGTAACGGAACGATGGACCACCACTAGCGTAAGGTTGTCTGCCACGTAGAGTTCGACTGCCTCCTCTCATTGATCTGTTTACGTGATGCTGGAAACCTCTCTGCGATGTATAATGACTCGTGTTCCTCGGAAAAGATGCACTAACGGATGCTACCACTCCTTGCTCGACATTCCGGTACTTTTTACGGACGTATTCTTCGTTCAATTTAATGGTTTCAATTTCGCGTACTTTATCGATCAGGTCTGTGAAACACTTATTGCGACTCAGCATTTTTAGTGCAGTCGTTCGGACATCTCGGTTTATGGCATGCTCGGCGATTGTTGCGACGATCTGTTCGAATTCTTTTGAGCCATCGAACTCGCAGAGTCTAGCCATTGAGCCAACCCGATTTATGTATGATAAGTCGGACTCATCTGGCTTCTGCGTCAACAATGCTAATTTACGCCTTATTAGCATTACATCTGATCCCGATCCAAAGTAGGATTTGAGCCTGGACATTGCATTCGTGAATGGGAAATAGTCAACATTCGGATCTTCATTCGACGACCTAGTGTTCTTGAAGATTTCAAGAAGTTTTGCACCGGCCTTAACCTTAAAAATTGTGAACTTAGTGAGTTCATCCTCCACTCCAGCCAATGTCATTGAGTCCACAAGAAGATCTTTCCAAGCTTCAAAACACTGGCGATGAATCTCACCGTCATCCGCAGGTTTGCATTCGGGTATGTTCACCGAGGCAATGGAGAGCTGATTAATGGACGTGTAGAACCTGGACTCTTCCAAGTGTGGTACAGCTGTCATTCTCCGAGTGCTGGAAAACCGGGTTTCCCTGTCAAAATCGGATCCATCAGCCTCTTTATCAGCTTGGTTAGCTAAGAGTTCCTCGTTGATTCGCTGACTTTGTTCGAGTTCTTCCATGAGCTGTGTGTTTTTAGCCTTTTCAGCTGCCAGTTCACGGGACAGATCTTTCATTTTATATTTTTTCTTCTGTTTCTCTACCGGAGGGGCGTTAGCATTTTCAACCGGTGTTTCACGTGTCATATCCTTCATCCTATAACCTTGTTTCTGCTTATTCTGCGTCTGCATTCGTTTCGCTGTAATTCACAATAAAAAACATTTTTTTTTTGTTTAGTTTCCGCGCATTTTATTTAAGGGCTGAGGCCGCATCACTCAACCATTTTTTTTTTTTTTTTTTTTTTTTTTTTTTTTTTTTTTTTTTTTTTTTTTTAGGAATTACCAAATCAATGGTTCTTTATTTAGCCAGTCTTAAATTTTAGTTTGTAGTGTTATGAATAAGCTTTATAACAAAAAAAAATCCAAGTACTCGGGTACATCGAAGTGCTTTGCCGTTCCAGTTCTGGGAATGTTTGGTGTTAACGTTATGAGATCCTTGCATCGAGATTCAGTGGAATAGTTGGTAGATGTAATCCTCGTCAAATCTTGCTGGTCGACTTAGAGTGTTCCGTTGTCGAAGATTCCTGAAGTCCCGTTGAAGCGATGGTTGATCGTCAGTAGATGTGCTATGTGTAGGCTGTGTATCACTATCATGCGACTCTTGCCGATCAGAGTGATTTAAACCTGGTGCTATTTTAATATCTTGGACATTCCTAGTGTACTGAATTCCAGATCTACTCATCACTACAACTTTTGCACCGTCTCTAGCAATAACTTCAAACCGTTCTGAAGAGAAAGTAGGATCTGTCTTAGTTTTTCTGTGGTGTGCAAGTAAGACCGTGTCGCCGCTGACAATATTGCTTTCTTTAGCCCCACGTACGTGATCAGCATACTGCTTCGATATTAACTTCGTCTCAGTATCAAGCTCTCGAACTTCCGCGCGGTCAAGTTCACTGGAATTTCCGTTAAAATCGGAAGGCTTCCATAGACCGGGAAAGTTACCCCTGTACTTCCAACCAACCATTAGTTCGAAGGGGGTAACTTGCAGCCGTGAATGCGGGATTAACGTGTTATGTCTGTGGACCAGTGCTGCAAAATCTCGACAGTACACGGTGATATTGACAATTCTGCTTTGGTCACTCATTAGAGCCAGCAGTCATAGTCAAGGCAAACCATGTCAATTGTCAATGACAATGCTGTCAGTGACGAACATGTGCAGATTTATTTATTAGCTAAATTTGTAACGAAATTAAATGACTTGAGCAAAACAATTACATGGATCCATTTTAGTGAATAAGTATCTACGTCCTGAGCTACTTGAATAACAATAATGTGACACAGAATGTACTAAATTACACTTTTTGTTACCAGGTGAATCTTTGTCATTGACGAAAAAATGAATGAGATTTTGACGAAGGTTTTTTCGAGGATCAAGTCTGTCAGTGACTATGTGACGAACAATTTAGTCAATATCGCGCGAAAGTCTGTCAGTGACAATGACAAATCTCAGCACTGCTGTGGACATACTGCTGTAGTGCTTTACGCCAGTTAGATCCTTCTAATTTAGACGCTGATAGGGCTTTAATGATACCTGGATTTTGTCTTTCAACAGCCCCATTGCTCTGAGGACTTAGTGGTACAGATTTTCGTACTTTAACTCCTCTGTTTTCCCAATATGAGATGAATCCGGTACTCTGGAATGGAGGTCCATTGTCACTTTGTATGACAGAAGGGTATCCCCACATTTGAAAAACATCGTTTAAGGCTGAGTTTGTAGCAATTGCATCCATTGACTTCATCTCTACTACAAACAGGTAGCGCGAGTATGTGTCCGTTACTACCAGAAATTCCCCGGATCCACAGGAGGGTACTGCTAGAAAGTCTATTTGAAGCATTTGCCAAGGTCCTTCAGGCAATTCTCTTGAGCATAGGGGCAATGGTGGATTTCGTCTCGAGAGTTGAACACAGGTGTTGCAGGTCTTCATGAAGCGAGTTATTTCCGCAGACATCCTGGGCCACCAGAAAAACTCACGCATTACACGCTTCATCGCCACCTCTCCTATGTGGCCTCCATGTGCTGAATCAAGTGCCTTTAGTCGCAGAGAGTAGGGTAGGATTACTCTGTCATCTTTGAAGACCATAGAACCACGACAACGCAAATTATTTTTCTGTGCCTCATATGCTCGCAGTTCAGATGGCCATTTGTTCGACGACACCGATTTTCTTACTGATAGTAATTCGCTGTCATTTTCAGACATCGTTTCTATTTCATCCCACGTAATGATCATATTACCAGTATCCACCCGAATAGAAATTTACATTAGCCCAACGTTTGATTTTGATGTCTACATCAGCATCGAAATCAAATGTATGCCTGATGTCAAACATTAGAAAACATTATGATTTAGTTGTATTTAAGCAACGTAACATGGTGTATACATCAGAAATTTTGGAACAAAATTTTGCCATTCTAATGTCGGTCTGACGTCAAAAATTTCAATCTCTTGACATTAGAACCAAACGTTTTAAGGATGTTTTCTGATGTACATTACGTTAGAACTAAACGTTGTTCGGATGTTTTTATATGTAAACGTTTTCTGATGTTTTCTAATGTAGATGTTTCCCGATGTTAAAACCAAACGTTTTCGGATGTTCTCGGATGTAAAAAACGTTAAAACTAAACGTTGTTTAAATGTTTTTATATGTAAATGTTTTCTGATGTTTTTTAATGTAGAAGTTTCCTGATGTTAGAACCAAACGTTTTTGGATGTTTTCGGATGTAAAAAACGTTAGAACTAAACGTTGTTCGGATGTTTTTATATGTAAATGTATTCTAATGTTTTCTTATGTAGATGTTTCCCGATGCTAGAACCAAACGTTTTTTGGATGTTTTCGGATGTACACAACGTTAGAACTAAACGTTGTTCGGATGTTTTCAA